GGGATTATAACCCTCAGGCAGTAGAATTCTCCTTTCTGTTTTGCGAAGAAAAGGAGCTGAACACCGTTTGCAGAGAACACCTTTCTGCGTAGGCGGCCTTCGACCGAACTTAAAGCAAACAAATAGGGCGGGACCAACACCGCCTACGTCATGGGCAATATTTTTGCACAGGGGTTCGTGACCGGAACCCCTCATTGATAATAATACACGCCCAGAATAAAAGTAGCGGTAAATTTTCATTTTCTTTTGTATTCCTTTTTAAACATTGCCTTCTTTGTATGTATTGTTTTGTACAATATGGCAACACATGTTATGTGTCAGTTTGCAACCATGTGTTATTGTAAATATGGGTGCAATTCAATGTATTTTACAAGTCGATAAAAGTTGAATTAAAGTGATTTATATACAAGATAAAATAAAATAAGAGTGTGTAAAGTATTAAGTACAGTGTTATGTGCATTTATATATATGAAAGTATGTGACAAATGCAGTTTTTGTTAAGGAAACCAAGTGGAACGACTTAAACAATTTTAACAACAAATAACTTATAAAAAATGATATTGTTTATATTTTTTAGTTATACATGTTTTAGAGGATACCTCCCTTAACATCCTGACCAAGTTTCATTTGTTAATTCCACCTGGTTTTCTTAAAACACAAGGTGCGGCTGACTACTAAAGCCCACCCGAATGTTGTCTGGTGGCGTCCTGCGGCAAATGCTTATTTCAAGACATCCAAGTGCCCACACACAAAAACTTGCAATCACATTGCTCGTCAAAATGACAGTTGGTAGGCCATCGGTGTTTGCCTGTGGAGTTCTGCGGTAAGGAGCATAGGTTAAGACCGGAATTCACTACAGAATTTGCTTGGCGAACCAAGCTAAATATCCATTTATTAAAGTGTTCGGCATACATCAAGATAACCAACCGTTCAGCTACAGAAAAACTAAAAATGCAGATCGCTAGTACTTTTTACTCTGATTTCAACTATATATGTAAATATTATTTGCCACAATTAAAAATTAAAGCGGATATAAAAGGTTAAACAAAAAAACTGATATTTTAAAATATTAATATTTTCTAAACTGCGTAACCGATTCAAAAGATAATGGTGTCAAAATAAAGGTAATTAATTTATCTTCAAGCTGATTTATGAAATGTGTATGCTGGTTTATATATTTAAGCCAAAATATTAAAAAACAAATAAAATGTTATAATTTTTTATTAATTAACATAATAATTTTTTAGAAAAAAGTGCATAATAAATGCTAGACATATATATTATTTAGAGAGTGCAAGTTCTTACCTTTAATTTGATATACATATTTTTTTATGATCTGCTTTTGAGGTTTAAGAATTCAGGGATAATACAAAATGTAAATCGTCGATGTTTTGGCAAAACCGCCTAAATCGCCGTTGTTGCAAAAAAGAGATTTGGTAACCTTGCACTCCAGGCACCGAGATTTATGCATAAAAATTGTTAAATCGTTATTAAAACAACAGATTCGTAAAATAATAGCTAGAGAAAATACTGCCTATCAAGGCAATGCCTTCAAAGAATAAATCATTTTTTCGATCTCCTTTAAAATTTGAGTGCCGTAAGATAGGCGGCTTTGCAATTGGGCGATGGGCGGTATTGCAAAAACATCGACGAAATGCATTTACAAGCAAGTGCCAACCTTACACCTTCACACAAATAAAGGCCCTTCTCTGGTAACACAGAAAGGAGAATTCTACTTAGTGAGGGTTATAATCCCTAAGAGCAGCCGAAGGCCGCCAACGCAGAAGGTGTTCTGTGCAAAAGGTGTTGCGCCCCTCTTCTTCGGAAACACAAAAAGGAAACTTCTACTTAGTGAGTGTTTAGGCCTCCACGCTAAATCAAATACTAATAAATTAAATTATCGGGTGTACCACCCTAATGTTAATTTAACAGATGCACACACATACACATTCGTATGTGAAACAAGACAAAAAGAAAAACTGCACTTTTCCTGTCAGTGCACTTTCTTTAAATTTCCCTGAAAACGGAACTCTTCAAACCGTTTAGAGGGTTCGACTTCAGTTTCTAACTTTTTAAACATTCTATTGGATTTCAATCACCAGCAATTACGGACGTTCCGCCACCACACCACTTCATAATCAAGGTAATATTGTAAGCCCCCTTGAATTTTAATATACCTATTAAATAAACCGCCAAACTTAATTGTATTTCAAACTAAAACCTGGTGCTTTTGTTTTCTTATTTTTTCAATAAAAAACACTGGTGCACTTATCGAGTCTATACCCATTAAGTCG